AGCAAACTCCTTAAAAGGACTGGCTGTCTTCTATTCCTCTCCTACAATTATTTCTTAAACCTACCCCCAATCAAATTTCAGCTCCTCCACTCCACCAGGAACTTGTTAAAATTACCAATGATTTTCAGATTGTTAATCTAACAGTCATATTTTAGTCCTTGACGTAATAGCATCTGATGCAACTGTTAACTTTCTTCCTCCTTAAAACATTTCACTTGGCTTCAATCACTGTTAATTCTCCTCCTCCATCACTGGGGTGCTTCTTAGTCTTCTTTGCTAGCTTTAGCTCTAACTCTCCCTTCTCCCTGTCCCCTCCTCCCCAAAAAAATTACAGAATCCCAAGGCAAAGTCTTTGGATTTCTCCAGCCACACTCAATCCCCAAACTAACTTAACCCATTCTAAAATCTCTATGCCTAAGGCTGGAAATTTATATCTCCAGCCCAGACCTCTGCCCTGAACTGCAGACTCATGTATACCCAGCTGCCTAGACAATATCTCTATTTGGACTGCTATCTTAACATGTCCCAAACTGAAATTGTTTCCTCCTAAAAATCTGCTTATCCTACAGCTTCCCCATCTCAATAAATGGAAACTCCAGTCTTCCAGCCAAAACCCACAACCCATATCCAATCCACCATCAAATTCTGTTGGCTCTGCCTTCTAAATGTCTACAGAATGTGAGCACTTCTCCCAATCTTTACCTAAAATCACCCACTCAGGATTAATGCTGGAGCATGCTAAAAGATTTCATTATGCTCTGCTTCTGACATTTTCTAAATAGTAACTGAGAGGTCTATTTAAAACCCAAAACATATAAATGGCTTCCCACCTTCAGGGTAAAAGCCAAACTCCTACTGGCCTATAACATATATAATCTATTATGTGCCCTTCTCCCATTCCCCCATGCTCCACCTCCACTCATCTTCCACCAATCACTTCCCTCAATGCCACCACTTAGCTACTTACCACTCCTCAAAAAAGACATTTGTAGTCTTGCTCTATCTTCTTCAAATGCTTTCTTCCCTAATACGTGTGCAGATTAGATGACAATTTCACTTCTTCCACATTATCTCCTCAAATACCATTCATCACTACAGCCCTCTCTGACCATCTTATATAAAACAGCAGCATCCCCCTCACATTATCTTTCCACCTTATTCTGCTTTGTTTCTCTCCACAGCACTACAACTGCCAACATGTTATACATATATTTATTTCCTATATGCTGTCATTCTAATGTAAGTTTCACAGGGTAGAAAATATGTTTTCCTCAGTGCACTATTACTAGCAAGTGCTCACTGGGTATTTCATGAATGGATGGATGACAAGAATAAGGAAACTCCAGGCTCAGTATCTCACCTCAAAGCCTGGGTTGAGGAAATTTACAGCATGTAACTAAAATCCTAGAAAGACGCTGATGGCAAGAGTGGCCACAAAAACGGCAGTCTAAAATCTAGCTGATGCCAATAATAAATAAGGGTTGACAAGTCCAGACTATCTTAAAATGAAGAAAATAAACTTGAGAAAAAATTTTAAATAAAAATAAAAGGAAGAATTAAAGAAAAGGCCATCCCTGCCTCCCCATTCCCTGGTAAAGAAATATCACCTGGATATGTTTCCTGTAAGCTAGCCTACCAACTCAGACCAAAATACCATCAGACCCATTCTATACACTAAAATAGCTATTAGGAAGAGTTCCTGCTTTTCTAAGCTATGATCTTCAGAAAAAATTGTAACTCCCAGCCCTAACATTGGCTGCCAAGACATAATGGTCAGAGAAAGCTCTCAAATTTCCCCAAAGCACTCAAGCTGCAACCAAATATCATTAATAAGATGACAACAACAATGCAAAGTACCTTCTGGTATCTGCTATCTTTGTTGTCCCTAGGGTATTCGCTAAGGGCTCAGGCATCAAAGATTCTGATATCTTGGTACGGGGGTAGAGATATGAGACAGAGACAGAGTGAATTTAAAGAAACAGGACCTAGATTTTTTGCATTATAAACAGAGGTAGATTGCCAGGGATTGAACATACTAAGATACGTCACCTGGATCTTTCAATACCAAACACCAAAACAGACACCACAACAGAGATCACAGAAGAACCAAAACCCTGAGATATCCAGCATTCCTCAGCTAAAGAGCTGTATTACATCTTCCATTCCCACACATGAAACTAAAGATATGGGGCACGAGGCCATGCCAAACTGTATAGCTGGGAGCAGTGGTTAGGGAGAAGAGGGTGGTGACAAATATGAAAAGAAAGGGAGAAGAGGAGTAATTATTCACTTTCTTTTCTTTTTCTTTCCCATTGTACTTACCAAGTACAAAAACTGAGCAGATGAAAACTGGGAAGGAGAAGGCAGAGTGAAGGGTAAGGATGCTCTGTAGAAAATAGTAGCATTAGAAATCAAGCACAAATTCCTTTTCTAAGTGACTCTTTGAAAAACAGACATATGAAGTTAGGAACTGACCAAGAAAACTTAAAACAAGCCCACACACCTTAGATAACTATAGAATTATACAAAGAGAACAGAAATTCTTAATTATTTGAAATGATGATCCTGGGGCATTGTTAAAATCAACAATCCTCAAAGATGACCCAACCATATTTAAACTCATCTATTGATTAACATGGAAAAGTAAACAGGTGAAAATTTCAGCTTTCACGGACCCAGCCTTTAAGAATCCCCTGGCTTCCCAGTGGCGCCAAATCTCAAAATAACCAATTAGAAGTCTTGAAGTCAGAGAAGAAATTCTGGGGGCATTCAAAAGCAATCAATTTAGCAGAGAAGAACTGAAAACTCAGAGATTACACCCAACATACCCTGATTGGTCAATTCACTTTAAAAGAAATGAGGGTTCTGATTGGTTGCTCTTATTAGGCTGAGTCAAGCCCCAGCATCAGTACCCATAGCAAGCAGATGTTAGAGGCTAAAAGAGGCAGGTGGTGAATGAGAAAGGTACTGGCAGGTGGAGGCAGGGCAGTCTGTAACAAAGGAAAGACAACTCAATTCTGTACAACCACTGCCCATCATCATAATACATTAGGCCACACCAATCAGAACTGTTTGTAGCCTGAAGTGTGGCATTCTGTGCTTACTTCTGTGCTAATACTGCCCTCTCCTTAATATTCTTCCCCTGATGCAGGTGGCTCTCCCCCTAGTCCTTGACAGCTGTCATTTTCTAGAGCTCCTCTTCCTCCATGCATTCTTTGATTTTGGTGATCCGATGTTTCCCACAGGCAGTTCAGTCTCTTGCCCTCTTCCTGTATTACCTCACGCCTTCTACTCAGTCCCATCCTTGACAAGCACATAATCCAGTGGGGGAGGTAGATGTGTCGCTGAACTAGGTGCAATACACCACAGCCAATGCTATGAAAGACATATAACAAAGTACTATGAGCGCATATTCATCTGTCATTACCCCATTCGATATCTTCCAAATCAACACTCCAGCTTCCCACTTTCTTTTAAGTCAGTTACTAAGTCCTGTATCTTTCCATTATATCCCCTGATCTCCAAATGCACCTTGCAGTTCAGGCTTTGTTTCTCATGTGACTTGTTTCAACCACTTCTTATCAGAAATACAATTCAATATGTTTTCACATTGCCACATCAGCCATCTCCCTAAAAGATATAACATACCATATAATCTCCCTGCTTTAAAGCACCTAATATCATTCCAATGCCTAAGAGATAAAATTCAAAACCTTAGCAGAAAAAAAAAACAAGATAAAATACACTTTTCAAATAGAGTCCTTAAAAAGTAAGCAGACTAAGTTCCAGTTCCACTGCTTTTTAGCTGCTACCTTTGGCAGGTCACTTTACTTCTCTAAGTTTTCTCACCTGCAAAATAAAAATACATAAAGAACCTACCTCTCCTGCGGTTGTTAGAAGGATTAAGTAAGAAACTCCATGCCAAATAACAGCACAGTATCCAGCACTCAATCAATATTAACTATTACCCTGGGATATCTCATCTATGTAAAATGACTCACTCCCCAAAGGAATCAGACAATCAAAGTCTTACTTTCACATATTTTAGAATGATTAACGGGAAGAGTCAAATCAGAAATGGCCTTCTGGTTAATCCTGAACTAACAAAAACTCCAACTAGCTAAAATATTGCTTTCATGAAAATTTTGGTTTGTCTGAATTTACTATAATTTATTTAAAAAAAAACAAACCAAGTACCCATTTACTTAAAAAAATAACTAGATTATGTTTTGTTTTGTTTCTTCTTCAAATTTGGGAAGAAAAACAGCAGCAGTTTACCAGTGGAAACTCAGATATTTATAAGAATGTGATTCTCTATAGTATAAAATACACATAAATTAAATTCAATCTCAAATGCATATGTAATTTGCTGAAGATATATACATATAACAAAACAAATTCTAGAAGCCTAATAAAAATGTGCCTCAGATAGTGGACACACAGTTATTCAGATCTCACAAACAAAAGATGAACTCACAAAATTTTGTTTAAAAGTCAATGATTTTAATAATTTTAAAAATTATGAAGTCAGCAGAGGGTAGCAGGGAAGAAAGAGAGGAGAAGTAGATGGGGAAAATTTTTAATTAAAATCATGTCTTCAATTAAAAAAATTAATTAAAAAAATAAAAAATAAAACTACAAAGTCTACAATAAAAATAACAAAAAAGATCAGAACATATTTCAAGATATTAACATATTTATGATGTTAAGCGCTAATAAAAATTAGTGAGAAGATTCCAGTAAATTTATGCACAAAGGACAAATCACACAAAGGAGAAAATAAAACTAGGAAAATAGTGCATTTGCTTTCCTATTGTAGATAGTGATGTTAGACAGCAGGTACCCTTATATACATTTTTAAAAAACAAATTTTCAAAAACAAAAGCCTATAAAAGTATAATAAAACTGGTAAACCAAACTGCAGAAGGCAGTGTAAATCAATATAATCTTTCAGAAATAAATTTGGCAATGTATTTCGAAAATGTCAAAAACCTTCATACCCTTTAACTTTGTGATCTCCTTCCTGGGACTTTAGCCTAAAGGAAAGAAGCAAAATGAAGGACAGCTATTTATTAACTGCATTACTTGCAAAAGAGGAGGCAACTTAGATGTCCAATTATTAAAAATAAGCAACTCAACTTGTAACGCTGTATAATAATTTAAATGTACAAAAACAACTATGAAAGCAAATATTAAACATTACATTTATACTTTAATTATAGTATAAAATCATAATCAGGCCCACCACAGTAAGTACACGATTATCAATTTTTCCCCAAAAAACTTATTACATTGAGTAACAACATAGGCTCATGTCACATACAAACTAGCCACACATGTAACTTTAGCCATGCCATTAGCCAGCTGTAACCCTGTTAAATTAAAATCTCATTTTACCATCAAAATGTAAATGTATGTGGGATCTCCATATGGTGAGCAGAAGCCACTTGTTATGGGGCATTTGGAGAGGGGGCTCCAAGCACTGAGGTTAAAAACTATCCGACCAAACAGAATGGTAAAGCTTAGGTTTCTCCTATATCCCCAAATGAATTATCATGTTTCTCAGCTACTCAAGGGCTCTAAGCCCCTAGGAGTGGCACCTAAGTATTCGACAGCAAGCAGATTTGCTCTCCCTCTGAAAACTGTCAACTTTCCAACGCACCATGGAGTAATAAAAAATACACAAGCATGAAGTCAGATGTGAGATACAGGCCACTCTAATAACCTGCCAGCTTTAGCTGTTTAATGGGTAAAATTTTAAAAGCAGAAACAAATAATCTGTTCTTCCAAGTTCAATATTCTATTAATAGACTCCCTTTACCAATATATGCCTAAGCCTCTCAAAAGCCCCCCATTCAGATTGTCAAACAATTATTAGGACTTAGAATTAGAAAACTGGGTGCAAAGGTAAAATACTGGTCAAAAGATCTGGACTGTATGCCAGCTCTGTTCCTTTCTACCTGTATAACCTTGGGCAAACTACCTTGCCTCAAAGTCATAAGATCAAAGAAACAGCAGTCCTTACTGGCCATGCTCTTTTCTTCTTGCATTAAAACACCCTGGTTTCTTGTCATAACTAAGGTTTCACTTCTAACCAGCAACAATAATTTTGACTTCATTCTTGGAATTTAAAAGTACCTCGTTTGTGCATTCATCTTTTCTAAATTTTCTGATATTCAAAGAGGTAATTAATAACATGTTGCCAATCTTAAAGCTATAATCAAAATGAGAGCATTCCTCAAAAATTTATTCAATAAATAGTTTTTGAGCACCCGTGCCACACAACAGTATGTGCTGGAGTTGCAAAGGTCTCTTCCGTTAAGAAGCTCAAAAGTCTGATGGAGACAGACATATAAACAAATCATTAACTACCAATTGACAAATGCTAACTGCATAATGTACAATGTACTATTGGTTCAGTCAAGAGTAGCAGGATAAAATGTCTGAACAAGATTCAGACGTGATATTTTGGTTAGGTCTTGCAAGGCAAGCTGTTTACCAGTTTGAGAAGAATTCTCAACAGAGGGTACACTGTAAAACCACAAAGGAAGATGTCATCTTCACAGACATCTAAGTAGTCTTTGTATAGAGAGAGAAGGCAAAATGGCAGAAGATGAAATTAGAAATGTACACAAGTACCAGAAATGTGAAGGACTTGGACTTTTATCAAATAGATTATGGAGAGTCACTGACAAACTTTTAATCATAGAATCAAAGTCCCCTTCTTCCACCATAACAAAAAAGCTGAGTCAAGGCAATAAACAAAAAAGTGCAGGTATAGATGTAGAAAGGTAAAATTGTGTTTTGTTCTGTTTTATTTTGTTTTTTAAATGCAGAGTTCATGATTTCAGTATGGCTTCTAGCAGTTCCTTACTATGGCATATTAACACAATACTGAAGTAAAACAGTTTGAATTACAGCTAAGATTCAAGAAAGTGGTTTTTTTTCCCTACCTAAAGATTATTTTACATCAATATTGTTGTGAACACTAAAGAAAACAACAAAATACTAAAGAGCTATAATTAAGAGAAGAAAACTGACTTTAGGCAAAATATTCAGAAATGTTTAAATCCTCATCATATATTGATTTCAGATAAGACATGTTTTGTGCCTATCTTTTGCAAAACGAAAGTATTTAAAATGTTTTTGGTTAAAGAACTGTCACCACCACTAAACTCTTTAAACTGGTCTGTAAGAAAAAATTTTTAGTGGCTAAATAGGTTCCATTATATTTTAATGCTCAGGAAAAAAGAAGAAAAAGAATGTCTTTTCAAATGGCTATTGTGAGAAGTCTAAAACTCAATTTATCTCACCTATGGTAGTGAAACATCCACATGCCAGTCTAGGGCCACTAAGAGTCTCTGCATCAGTCATTTCCACACTGCTAAAAGGCCTAGTCTTGGAACAGCAAGCCTAATTGGCTGGGTAGCCTACAAAGATGAATTTGCAATTACTGAAATTCGAACTCAAGTTTAGCCATCAACGACTATCTCAAAGCGGTCATTCCTCCTTCTACTCTCACAATAAAAAGGCGGTGTATTATATTTATCTATATGTATACATAGCAGACTTCTAAAAAGGTGAGATAGAGAAGCACCTGAACTGCGTGGTCCAAAGTTTCATCTCAGGATGTGTTTTAGGGTGTGTCTTTGTTTTGGCCCAGTAATTAAAAAAATAAAAATAAAAACATTAAAAAAAACCTGTCATTGGGGCACCCCGGTACTTTCCCCTATCAACCCTCACAGCATCCTGACTCTGAAGTCACTGAGCATCTCAGCCTCGCCCAGATTTCCCCTGAGAAAAAGGCGGTAGCCCCAGACACCGAAGACCCCGGCGCGCCAGCCACGGTCTGCGGGCCTGAGGGTGGGGGGCGTCCAGCATCCCAGCTTCAAGCCTGTCTCGCCTGAAGCGTCTCGCGGGGGGCTCGAGAGGGTCACCCCACCGGCAAGAGGCCGAAGGGCGCTACTGTCTTAACCTGGGCGCCTGGACCTGAGTAACCAGACCGCGCCCCCAGCCAGGGCTGTCGCAGAGGCTCGCCCCACCCCGACACCGGCCTGGGCTCCCCCGCCAACCCCCGCCCGGAGCCACACTCTCACCCTGCGGAGGTTGCGCTGTCTCCTCTGCCGCGGCCCAGCTGCGGCTCGCTCAGCGACCTACGGACCCGAAGACCGCTGGTGAGGCGA